CCTCAGGAGTTTGGAACAATGATATATATATATATATATCTCTCTCTCAACAGTTTATGCTTCATTTACTTCAACAAGGGAATTTCTTCTCATAGAGAGGAAGAGGATTCTCAGAACATTAGAGACTTCGGATTATTTATGTTTTTCATTTATACCAGTTTTCATTTTTAATGTGATATAATATTAATTATTTGGGGTGTGTTTATGGATCGATTATAATCATGCAAAGGCATGGCAATAATGTATATCAAATTGATAACGTCTTTTGATCATATTTTTTAAATTAATTACGTCTCTGGTCTAAAAACTCATCTCCTGAAGTGGTTATTCTTTTCTTTTATTTTTTTTAATAATAAAAAGTTTAGTAGAGTTGGGTCTCGCTTCAAAACATATTTAAGAAAATACTTACAAATTATCCACTAATAAAATTCTTATATTGATAACAAGATTTGATCCAAAAACCTTATAGGTGATGGGCCTAAACCTTATCAAATGAACTAACAATTATTGATAATTGTGACTCCCTCATGACTTTTTTGTAAGACACCTTCTAAAAGTAATTTTTGATTCAAAATATAAGACACTTTACAATAATTAAACTACTTTTTTAATTTTGCCCTTTCTTGATTAGGGTAAAGGTATTTAATGTAATTATATTATGACTTAAAGTCAAGGATAACAATGAAAGTTTATATCATTTTTTTATGATATAAAAAATTAAATTTTTTTAAAATGGGTGAAATAGTTAAAAGTATTTTACATTAAGGATTGAAATGAGCATTTCTTTTAGTATCTTGTGGAATAATTAAATAAAACATGATAAGTGCAAAGGGCCATGATTTGTCAAGTGACAATGGGCCCAACGGGCCGGTCTGTTGTGGACAAGCCCAATGGGCTATTTGAGCATGCATGTTTCCCAGTTACATCAATGTAGGTTGTCATTGATGAAAGTTGAGTGCTAACCCAACTCATTGTGGGACATATAAGGACCCGTTTGATTGGAGATATATTCATGAGAATGAGAATGAAAATACGAATGGATTTAATGGAATGAAATACATATATTTATTATGCATGGAAAGGAGGAATAGATATCTGTGTTTGATTGGACAATAATATCTTTAATATAAAATTAATTATATATATCAAAAATATTTTTTATTGATTTTTTTAATTAAGATACTATATTTTTCATTCTATTTAATTAGAAATACTTTAATGTGCTCAATTTATAATATAATATATTATATGCTTTGACCAACAATCAACCATTCAATTGGAGTGTTTTGGGTTGAACATGTCTATATCAATTTTCTGCATCAACTTCAGTGGGACAAAATTCATTTTTATTTTTTTGGGGATAGTCGGAAAAAATTTATTTATTAAATATGCGTTTTTCACGGCTTCACACACCAGAAGCTAGCTAATAATATTTCTTTGAATTGCTAGTCCTTTTTTAAATAATATTATTTGAATTGCAAGTTACTTCAACTTATTTTAGAACTGATCCAACCAAATCCCTGTTTTGTATGTGCGTGTGGGTGTATATATAAATATAAATACACACCCTCACAATGCACGGATTTGTATATGCATTTACTTAACAATAGTAATTATCTTTATTAAATTAAATTTAAACGATCCACTTACATCTTTCAAAGTTTGTAATGCCCTTGTGGACGAATCACACAAAGTGGTTGGCACGTTGTCTGATTTTGTGATTTTCCATTCTATTGGCTCAACAATTAATGTCCCTTGTTAGTAAGTCTAAAATGAATAAACAAATAGGAAAAAAATTAGTATAACATTGAGATATGGTTCTGAATGAACACGGTGCAAGAATCAGTCTTCTTTATGCTAGCACTCCTCCCTTTTGTATATATACAGGAAACTGTCATTTGTTACTTTATTTTTTTATAAACAAAATCACATATTTTAATAATATTTATTATAATTTTTTTAAGTTAACCTTCATCATTCATAATTTTCATTCACGAGAAACAATGACTACTGCAGTTTTATTTTAATCAAATACAAGGATATTTTAGTCTATTTTTAAATTTTTAAGTGTAGTTATTATAGTTAACTGATTTTCTAAAATATGTGACACAATTATTTTCATTTCCTTTTGTATATTATCAAGAAACTGTCATTTGTTACTGTCTTTTTTTTTTTATCACAATCATATATTTTAATAAATATTTATTATAATTTTTTAAGTTAACCTTCATCAGTTCATAATTTTCATTCACAAGAAACAATTAATGCAGTTTATTTTAATCAAATACAAGGATATTTTAATTTATTTTTAAATTTTTAAGTGTAGTTATTATAGTTAACGATTTTTTTTAAAATATGTGACACAATTATTTTCTTATATATAAAAATAGAGGGAATATTGTGTTGTCAACAAGTTATAAAATCTCCAATTAATTTTGTCTAAAAATTTGATATTTTTTTAATTATGTCTCAATTAAATATATATACTTTAATAATATATTTTGTCTCACAACATTTAATGAAAGATAAAATACAAAAATTTGTAATAAAAAATTAATGAACTAAATATAAATAGGAGCAAATTTTTTTCTTTTAATCTTATAAATAGAATTGAAGGGAGTATACTACTATTTACGCATGGAAGGCCAAGAAACTCATGAAAAGCTTTCCATATGTGGATAACTTTGGAATCCATCTTATAATTCTATGTGGTTAATTTCATGATTCACCCTATATTTTATGTGGATAACTTTAAGATCTATCCTATATTATGTGTGGATAATTTCAAAATTCACTTCTTTTAGAAATTTAATTGTGCATCATACTTCTAAATACGACACATAATAAATTTAAGGGAATACAATTATTAATCTCCATAATTTTATCAAGTTTTGCTTTTAGTTTTTATAATTTTTTTCAATGTTTTTAATTTCTATAATTTCAATAAAATTGGGTGACATTTGTTACTCAGGTCCTTATAATTTCAGTTCTCATAAGGACTAAAACATTGAAAAGAATATAAGAATCAAAACAAAATTTGATAAAATTATAGGGACCCCCAATTGTATTTTCCTTAAATTTTAAAACATTAATTATATGTAATCTTTTGATTATTTGGGTGAGGAAGAAAGTATTTGTATATATAATAAATTTGTTAAATAAATGTATTAAACAAGAGACCAACAAAGGTTAGGTCTATTAGTAAGAATCTGGCTTATAACTCCCAAAATTGTGACTTCAAAATCTTGCTCCTAATATGAGAATATTATTAATGGGTGATTTGCAAATACTTTTATAAGTACTCTTTAAGCCTCGAGCAATTATGTTGATAATGTGTTATGGATTATATGGATTGAGAGAAGAGATAAATCTAGAAAGAGAGAACAAGAGAATGAAAGAATGGAAAACTTTCTTATTTTTGTATGTAGAATATAATTGAGATGAGATGCCTATTATTTATAGGCAAAAGTATGCAATTCTCAAATATCATAAAGAATATACAAATTGATGATAATATGAGATATTATGAAATAATAGAAATATTAAAAGATATCACAAAATAATGGGCATCTACATAATATTATAGAATTAATTACATTATTTTTGTTCTTAAAATTAATTACTCCCTCTGTCTCATTTTATAAGATATTTTTTTTAAAAAAATACAAATATCAATAAAATCAATTAAATATATATTTTTAAATATTAATTTTTTATAAACTTTTAAAAATATAATTTATTCAATAAAATAATGAGAAGAAAAGAAATATATTTAATGAGTAAAATAATAAAAGATAATATTGAAATAATTATTAATAATAAAAACATTATTTTTATTAAAAAGTTTATATTTTAAAACATCAAAAGATGGATCCTTCATCCTTGTGACCAATGCGTGTGGGGGACTTGAAGAATTGATTAAATCAGACTGTTTCAAACATTTTCTATCACTAGATTAATGCAACACATGATCCCTTTTTTTCCCATATTCAAGAATAGATATAAATCCAACAAAATTTTATAAAAAAAAGATATACATAAAAATACATATACATAAAAAATACATATACATCTTTCCTAATTTTTTTTTAAAAATATATCCGCATGTTTTTACAATACTTAATTTTAAATTAGATCTATATAACTTATTTTATTTTAATTGAACCTTTAAGCTCTATCAAAAAAAAGTAAAGGAAAACTAAACAGAACTCTTTAAAGATTGTTGAGTGATACCTTTTAATTAATAATATTTTTAAAAGTTTAATAAATAATAGAGCTGACATTATATAATCAATACAGTCAACCCCATCTAGTGAGGTAAAGCTTCTTATTGTTGTTGAACCTTTATAATTTAATTTATTATACATATGTTAACTTCTGCAAATTAAGAATTTTAATTTCTTTCTTTTAAAAATAAATTTTATATTTTTATTAAATAATACTCCCTGCATTTAAAAATATAAGGCATTTTTAACCGAATCTCACTTCCAATAAAGTAGTTATTTACTTTCAATTAACCTTATCTTTTTACATTTACTTCTATTAAACAGTCTATAATAAATATAAAGTCATTATTAATGGATACTTTTTGAAAAAAAGGACAATGATTATATCTCAAAAGACTAAAAATGTTTTATATTTTTAAACATCTAACTCCTCAAAAAGTATCTTATATTTTTGAATGGAGGGAGTATATAACTTTAAAAAAAAATTATATATTCTTACCACTCAAAATTTTATAATTAAATTTATTTTTAAAATATTTTTAATATAAAATTTTCATAAAAAGTTAATAAACTATAAATAGTGTATCAAATCAGACTAAAAGTATTAAATTAATTTTTTTTATAAATTATAAAAATATTTTTAATAAAATTTAATAATTTTTATTTTAATTTTTAAGAGTTAATATATATCATGGATTAAACTATAAAAACTTAATTATTATTGTTATTATTCTACTCTTTAATTTTTTTGTTCGGTATCTAGGAGCTTGCTGCTGCTGCTGCTTGTTTCGGCCCTTACTTTTTCGAGAACATGAAGAGCAAGGGATTTATGGTTGCTTCTTCTCTGCATTCCATCGATCTCTTTGTAAACCTGAGTATGGGCGACATCATGATTTTATCGTCTCAAGGCTTCTTCTTCGTCTTTCCTCATCCCCTATAATTCTTCATTTTGGGGCATTTGAAGCTTATCCCTGTTCATGAAGATTAGAATGATCATTCTAGAGTGTACAGAAAAGCGAGTCCTTTTGGGAATCCAGGAAAAATTATCCCATTGCTACAATTGACAATAGCAAAAAGTAATGGATGAGAATGAATCTTGGATGGAACAACAAAATGGGTCACTCTCAGCTTGACTGAAACACAAAATGGGTCACTCAGCTTCACCGAAACACACTTAAAGGCGGAGTCTGAAGAAGAAAAAAGAAGCAATGCATCTCGACTTTTGGGAAGGAAATAGGACTCTTTGTTGAGCATCGTTTCATTCCCAGGTTCTCTCTCACCGTTCACCGTTTCACGAAGAAGCACTCATGTTTAATTTTGCGTCTCCAATTTCTCTCAGTCAATTCATGGTCCATCGATTTAATCGGACAGAGTCAATTGCATCGTACGTGCACTTGAAGTCAGAGTAATGTGTTCACACCATCTGGTAGGAAGCCCAAGGGAGCAAACAACAGTCACTTGACGGATATGCCTGATCTAATTTGTAATTTTCTATGCTACAAGCTCCCACTTTTTGTTGATATTATTGATATCACAGTGAATATCGTGTGGCCATTACCAATGGATTTCTAGAACAGTCCTTCTTCTTCTTCTTCTTCTTCTTCTTCTTCATCACAGAGGATCTGGAAATATGATATGGCTATAAGTTACAATGATATGGAAACTGGCTCGTTTTATACAATTCTTTAGAATGCTTTAGAAAAGGAATGTTTCAGAATCGGCAGCTGGTTTGACCCGTCATTAGAAATAATTGAAGGATCCCAGATTTATATAGTTGTCTTCTCACAAAGATATGCTTTCTCACCAAGTTGCTTGGGTGAACTGGCAGTGATGTTTGAGTGCATGAAGGTACAAGGCCACAAATTTCTGCCAATTTTTTTCAAGATCGATCCGTCTAGAGTGAAAACATGGCTAGCTCCATTTCAGATACTACTGGAACGCCCAGATTTGGTCATACAAAACTGCTAAGTAATTATTAATGTTCTGTCAGTTTATATGTTGTTGGTTATGGATCTGATTGTTCACATCTCATCATCTTTATGATCGATCTCCTAATGCATGTTCAACAAATTGATTAAATTCTTCACAATACATGTTTGGGATCTGGGAATAATAGACAGAGAGAGGGAATAAGTAATATATTAAAACCTTTCTGTTAATTACATGTTTACTCAGATCTCTTCAATTTCAAACAAGTTAAATTCTAATTTTATGTACCATCATTTGCTCTCTCTTCTATCATTGTTGTCGTTTTCTCTATTCCAAACTCTTTGAAAAGCATGATACAGTATTGTAACTTTCTCTGAACTAAACTTTTATTTAGGTAGATAAGTCAAACAAGAAATGTATAAAATTTGAATTGTTATCCGCTTTTTATGACTTGTTAATAATGTGAGTATATAGTCTTAAGTTTTATATTTAATATTGATGATACTCATTGTTATGCTTGATAGAACATAGAAGTTTTTAAATCCCCAACTTTTTGTTTTATCAAGGAACTATAGTTTTTCTTCATATATATTTTTTTGTAACAAACATGAGTATATAAATATATTAAAAGATAAAAAATCAGAGCTGAATTACATTCATCCGGGGAACAAAAGTAGAGTTAGTAAAGAAAAAAACTATCTAAAGCAACATGAAAAAACATCAGCAATGATAGTATCAGCACTGTGTTGATTAAGAAGATCCTTGAAGATGATTGTTTTCTTGAAGCACACTAAATTCAGCCCTTCCAAAGGAAAATTATAGTGATGACCAAAATTTGAAACCCACAAAATTGCTGATCTGAGATAAAGCAGATTGAAATTTGGTTGACCTTTAGTGTGCTTCCTGAACACAATACTGATAAGCCGTTTAGAATCCAACCAGATTATATCAAAGAACAATGTGGTAATTTCCTGAATTTGAATCTCCTCTTTGTAATTAACCATCCTGGCCAAAACCTGCCCTAAACAGAGGGAAATGACTGAGAAGGTTGAATGAGTGAAGTATGATTTCTATTCCCCCAATCACATATCTGTGTTAACAAATATCTTTGACTAACAAAATCACGCATCAAAATTTGAGGGGGAATTATTTTGCCTTGATGCACAGCCAAGTTTCTAGAGAGCAAAATCGAATTTAAAATAATAATGATGGATAAAACCAACTCTCTTGATTTCCTTGTTGATTAAGAGCATTAAAAAGTGCATAGAAGCCAAGAGATTACTCCTTACTGCATAAAATCTGACATTCTTATTGAAAGTCGAGCAAATCAACAAGCTTTAGAATAGCTGCAAAAGGCAAATACATGATCTAAAGATTCCATCTGATCACGTCCAAAAGGACAAAGGTTGCTATTAGAAAGATGAAGCTTCCAGAGGACATCTCCAACAGTTATTGAATGGTGAATTAATTTCCAAATGAATAATAGAAATTTCATTGTAAGCTTCAGTTTCCAAAGGTAACCCCAAATTGGTTGAGACGATAAGGGAAACTGAAAAATCAATCTATTCAGCGGTATTTTGAATCCATCCTTGGTTGTGTATTCACCAGTAGAAGATCCAGTCTACATTATCCTATCCTCTGGCCTAGTGGAAGGGAGAGGAATGCTAAGGATTCGAGAAGCATTTTGATCACTGTAAAGTGATTTAATAAGATTCTGGTTCCAAGAAACAGCTTGCCCTGCCATTGGTTTGGAACTGAAGCAAATCTTTCACAATGAAAGAACCTGGATCAATCATAAATATACCCTCTGAATTTTCCCATCATTCTTCTTCATCGGCTGACAAGAGTACCATTATGTACTTGCTTGTTATGATTTAGTGATGCTTACCTTATAGAAAAGTACCGTTTGAGCCAAAGTGCATTGAATTGAAATAAACATACTGGGCCTCTATATCTTTTGTTAGGAGTTGATTGTGGCTGCTTATGTTTTGCGTAATAGCATTGTTATTTTTTGTTCTTTTTCTCTTCTTTTCTCTAGGAAGATCAAAGACGAGTTATTGGCAAAATAGTTGTGGAGGCAAAGAAAACTTTGGTTGAAGAAAAAGAGACGTAAGTTACATTCTGTTCAGTTCTTTATAGTTTGTTGGGCATGAAATATTATTGTTCTGATCAACTTCTGTCCTCTTTCATGCTTAAATCGATCAAACCTATCATTATTATGTTTTCATGAACAGAAACAGAACAAAGGAAACAAACAAATTTTAAATTAACAATGCAAGACTGGTTTGGCAAATCTAGGGGTAAGATTTCCATATATCTCAATTAGGTTTTCTTTCAAGGAGTGAGAGTTTTCCTCTTTACCATTTGAAACTACCCAACTAGCTTCTGAGAGTACTAATAATCCTTATATCACACAAAGGTTTGGTACACAAGTGTGGTTGAATGTTACTAAGAATCAGAAACTATGGTTTCAGATTTGCAATGGATGTCCAGAGAAGTGTAGGGTTGTTAGCCAAGGGATATGGCCATGGAGCTGTGATGTGTTTGTATTGAATTTCTTAACTGAGGACAATCGCTCATTTGTTGAAGACCTTCACAACGCTCTATATAGAAATGATGTGGTTATGGCTTCGCGAGATTCTATTGCTCAAGCTCCCATGGACAAATACAAGCTTTGTGTTTATATGAGGCCCAGACACGCTACTTGCAGGAACTGAACTTAAATAAGCGACGCACATCATTTCTGCAAATTTTTTTGCAGGTGGATCCCTTTAAAGTACGTAATGCCAGTTTTCTTTCTAGTAAAGATTTGGTGGTTCAAGATAAGTAGACCTTCTTCTCTAATTGTTCTGTCCATATTTTAAAATTTCTTCTTTCAAAGCATTTTAAGGGATATATTGAAGTAAAGAAAATAAATAAACTATGATTTAATTATCATTTTAGGTGTGTCTTCTTTCCTTTAATTATTCTTAACTTGAAAATACAATTATTCTCAACTTTTTTGCGCCAAATTATGAACTCAGTCCTTTAGTATAGAACTTTTGTTTTCACGAAATTAAACATTTACTCTAATAATTAATAAAGATAATATTTCTCGAATAAGTTCATTTTACATAAATTTAGGCAAATGATTTGTAGATTAATGTGCAGTCAATATCATTTTCTTAGCAATCTTCTTCATCAATTGACATCTGTTCACTTTGTTAGTAATAGTGGCGCTAACTTTCTTTTCATTCAACTTATTCAGGAGAGACCAGCCTATGGTTATTCGTAATATTGTTAAGAAATATGGAAACTCCATTTTGTGTGGAAAGCGTTATTGGTAAGTAACATTATTTTAGTTCGTAATGGTTGTTTCTCTGCATATACTTGGCTGTATCAAATTGATCAAGTCCTCTCTCTCTCTCTCTCTCGTGTGTGTGGATATATAGAGACACAAGATTTGAAATAAAAAAATTATGAGTAAATTGAAATCTTGTACGCACTCATACCTATATGAAACAAATTTCTGCTAAATTACTTTTGTTCTTCTTCTCTTCTACAGGAAATCAAGTCTAAACCATGTTGAAGAATTTGCAAAGGAAATAGATAAATCAGGACAAATAGCTACAGTTGGGATAGGTTATCGTCAAGTAGAAAAATTAATTGATCTTCTAGACTTAGGCTCAAAGGATGTTGTGCCAGTTGTAGGGATTAGTGGGATGGGGGGAGTCGGGAAGTCAGCTCTTGCCGGAGATGTCTTTAACAAGATCTCCCACCTTTTTGATTCTGCCTATTTCATCTCCATTCCACCAGGTACCAGCCAAGTCTATCTCCTAAATCAATTCATTTTAAGAGAGGCATTTCTCCGGATAGCTTTCCCAGAAAGGCCAAGATTCCATAGGATACTTGTTTTTGATGATGTCGAGTATCTGGAAGTTTTAGATGAAGGATGGATTAGAGAGTTGTTTGGAGGGGAAGTAGAATTATCACAACAAGCAGAGAAGAGGGACTCCTTAGAAAGATTGGAGTAGATGAAATTCACAAGATGGAACTATTGAATCAAAATAAAGCTCTTCGATTTTTCTGTAAAATTGCTTTCAAAAGTGATAAACCAATGAGAGGTTATGAGGAGCTAACCCATGAGGCACTTAAATACGCTGATGGCCTTCGATTAACTATTAAATCAGTAGGTTCAACACTGGTTGGTCTATGTGTTTCAGAGTGGAAAAGTGTGTTCGCCAAACTGCAAACGATTCTTGACTTTTCAGTGCTTACGGTGCTTCATAAAAGTTTTGATGGACTCACACATGAACAGAAGGATGCTTTCTTGGATATTACATTTTGTTTTGTATGACAAGAGATTGATTATGTCCAGAGGATTTTACTTGGTCAAAATGCGACAATCAAAAGTCTTATGGACAAGTCACTAATAAACATATCAAACCAAAGAATAAAAATACATCCTATCCTACAACAATTGGCAAAAGTAATTGTTCAACGTGAATCTTTTATGCCTGGAAGGCGCAGTAGGATATGGAATTATGAAGATTTTCATCATATTATGGAGACAAACATGGTAAGTTCTTTGTATTTTAATTGTCTTAAAAGTAAATTATCGGTTTAGCCCTTTAGTTATGTATGTTGTCAGTTTGGTTCATGAAATATCCCCCAACTTAGATAAAAATGTATTGCAAAACATGATCCTTTTTCATGTATCCTTCTTGTAAGAGTTTTAATTAAATGTGAAACACATCTTAAAATAGTAGCAGTTTACATTGATGATTAAAAATGCATCTAGATGCTTGCCATATAACACAAAGTAATGGCATTTTTTACAGCATCGACTTAATTAAGATAAACTCTGTTCACCTTAATAACTGTATTAACAAATGGCCCCAGTTGATAAAATTAACAAAGCCTTTATATTAATTTGATGGTAATTATATTTCAAAGATTATGTAGATGAAACGTATGCATTTTAGGAATTAGAATATTAGATTATTTGTTTTGTTTCTATATATAGAAAATTATTGATACTTTTGACTTTTCAAATTTCATATGCAATACATTTATATTCAGGGAATTGATCGTGTTGAAGTCATAGTACTCTCAAATGAAGAACATCCACAAGGGACAGCATTAAATGTTGAAGGTTTATAAAAAATGAGGAGACTTGGAATCCTTATATTTCACAATGTGAAATTTTCATGAAGTCTTCTTGATCTTTCTAACAACTTAAGATATCTTTTATGGCATAAATATCCATTTAATTATTTGCCATCGAATTTTAATCCAAAAAATCTTGTGGAATTGATCATGCCAGATAGCAGCATGACACTATTATGGAGAGGCGAAGAGGTATTAATAGGTTTTTTTGCTTATATTTGATCAAAACTAAATTGATTATGATCAACAAATTTAAGTTATATATGCTTCTTTTAATTTTTTGAGTGAATCGGAATTTTATATTTCACAGTTTAAATATCTCATTTCAGTTTTTCAATGAATGTTTCTTATTCAATATTTCTCTCATTAAGAGGTGTTGAAGTCTCGCTGTCATTGGGATATTCCCATGACAAGAGTGTGAATATGGCACTTTTGGCATTAAGACTAACGAATATATATATGTATAATCTTTTTAATGTTTCAGTTAAAAATCTTGTCTTTGAACAAGTTTTGATGTTTGTCTGATCTGCTATCCAGAAAGGTATTCCGCTGCCAACGAGCTTGAACCTTTGTGGCTCTGAAGATCTGAAAAAGACACCTAATTTTAGATTGCTTCGACCTCCTGAGAGGTTAGACTTGGAAGGATGTACTTCATTGGTGCAGCTTCATCCTTCTATTGTGTATATAAGAAGGCTTAAGTTTTTAATTTGAGAAACTGCACAAATCTAGTGAGCATCTCAAATGAATTATTTGTCAAAAGCTCTCTTGAATTTCTAAATCTAGCTGGCTGCTCCAAATTCGCCAAATGTTTGAGGTTCAAGAGATTAACAATAAATCGTTCTTCTATTAAACTTATGTGTTGGAATTGTGGTAATGGCAATGTTCTCACTCTGATTGCCCTTATCCATGTAATGTTAATGTTGCTCACGTTTGGGATTTATGTAGCCAAGTGTGTCATGTATTGAGAAATGAGATTCATTATATATCCTGTATTCATTCTATGATTGCTTCTCTTTCTTTGCATTCAGTTCTATCAGCTAAACATGCTCATCTACGACAACATTGATGCATAATATGTGCATCCGGTATTGAACATTTCTATTTTATAATTCTATCCAACTCACATTATTTATGGTCACAGATATTGGCATATTTTTTATTTTTTGAATTGGAAGGAGGCTAAACTAGCCCTGTTGAGGATTAAACCCACTACTTCCTCCATGCAAGGGAATCGCTTTGTCACTAGGGCTAAGCACCAAGTTTTTTCGGCACATTATTTATTAATGAGATAGTCAACGGCGTATATTTAGCCAGTGCAATAGATTCAGAGCTGACAGGCAGACATTATGTCAATTAATTCCATTGTAAATATAGATAGACACGTGTCAAAATATCATTTTCTATTCCATATATATATATATATATATTTCACATATTTTAAATTATCCAACCATATAAGTACTGTTGTTGACTTAGTTAGGATGTATGTGAGTACCTTGTACCTAGTCTTTCATGGGATGAACAAATGTGTGATCAATTGGGATATAGATTATTCATAGTCTAGTGTTATTCCTCAAAAACAGGTATTTTGTGTCATAGGTTCTTTTTTGAGTTCTTTGATTAGCAGCTTAAGTAGTCTATTTGATTGTAATTAGATTTACCTTCTCAATTCTGTCCCAAAAAAAAAAAATTTCCTTTTTCAATAATGGTATGATTGTTTTACAATTGATTGAAGTTGAATGTCAAAAAAAAAAAAAGTTGAATGAAATTATAAAGGGGATTTCTTCTCATAGAGAGGAAGAGGAATCTCATCATGATGAGAAACTTTGGATTATTTTTATGCTTTTCATTCTATTGGTTTTCATTTTTAACGTAATATATATTAATTATTTTGGGTGTGTTCATGATCAATTATATATAACCATGCAAAGGCATGGCGATGTCTATGAAATTGACATCGTATTGACCATATTTCTTAAATTAAATTTACATTATTCCTGGTCTAAGGTTTCATTTCCAGAAGTAGTCATTTTTTTTTTGGGGTAAAATTTCTTGAAGTAGTTAAATAAAACCTAACAAGTGCAATGGGACTTGATTTTCAAGTGATAATGGGCCAATGGGTTAGTCCACAGTGGACAAGCCCAATGGGCCATTCGAGCATGGATGTTGCCTGGTTACATCAATTTGGGTTGTAGAGACACACAAGGACCAGTTTGATTGGTAGATATATTCATGAGTATGAGAAAGAGAATATGAATTTGGTTTAATGGAATGAAATGCATACATTTAATATGTTATGGAAAGGAATAGATATTTTTATTTGATTGGACAATAATATCTTTAATATAAAAGCATATATATCAAAATATTTTTTATTGATCATTTAATGAAGATACTATTTTTTATTCTATTTAATGAAAAATACTTTAATTTGCTTAAATTATAATATAATATTCTCTTCGTTAAAAAATGTAAGACATTTTTTGAGGAGTTGAATGTTAAAAAATATAAGGCATTTTTAGTCTTTCGAGGTGTAATCATTGTCTTTTTCTAAAAAGTGCCCCTATTGATAATAATTTTATATTTATTGTAGGGTGTTTAATAGAAGTAAATATGAAAAGATAGGGTTAGTTGAAAAGTAGATAACTACTTTATTGAGGGGTAAAATTTGATTAAAAATGCCTTACATTATTGAATGGAGGGAGTATCTTATATGCTTTGACCAAAAATCAACCATTCATTTTATTGGAGTAATTTGGGTTGAACATGTCTATATTGATTTTCTACATCCCCAATGTTGGCCTAATTTTCGGTGAACGGATCAAAGCACTATGACCCCTAAGGTGTGTGCCATGTGTGTCAAAGGAGCGAGTCCTTAAAATTGTGAGTTGCGATTAGACAATTAAGTGGACTCCTAAAGTCCTTTACTACAATTCTTTTAGAAAGTCAAATAACGTGCGAAAACAGTGAAGTAGCGCGTCATACTGAGTGTGAAGCTCAATAATATTACTAGTATATGAGTACAATCAGGTGCTCATGAAGACAGAGGAGGAAATTCAACTATGAAACTGGGTGAGATTAAGTGACATAGGGTCAAGAGTAGTTAGTGTGTTTGAGTTGGGCAAGTTTGGTGTACGTTTGGAAAAATATATATCTAGAGACTAGTTATGTGCTCATTGCTTATTCTTAGAGAAATGGCAACGATGCATTCCTTTTAAATTCAAATTTGATGCCTTTATGAGCAAGTAATTGTTTGATCCTTTGAATTCTTGAGTGGGGTTTCATTGTGTGGAATGTTGAGCGTGAATGTACAGAGAATCTCAAATTGTGAGCAAAGTGGACATGACTTCATCAATCCTTCTCTCAAAATTCATCGTTCCATTATCATACGCTTGTGTGTGAGTGTTTGTGTCTATTGCTATCGTTCTGAATACAGTGCAAGAATAAGTCTTCTTTATATTCTGTTACAAAAAAATTATTAAATCTCCAAGCGTGTGGTTCCAGTTTTCCAATGAATTTCCTTTTATTTTTGAGATACAAAGGAAAGCATTTGGTTGGAAAATTCCCACTAAAATGGGGTTTTTTTGGAGGGAAACCAAATTCTTTTGACTAATTTACCCTTACATATTTTTTGATATTCCTTGAATGCTAACAGTTATCATGCTTCACTGTGTTTCTTTTTTGTCGCTGAACTTCTCTGGTAATTAGTAATGCATCTTCCCATTGTTGCTGAACCTTTTCTCTTTCCTGAATCTCTTTTCTTTCCGCCAAGCACCGTCGTTGTTTTCTTTTCATCCCAAACTCGTTGCATTGCAGACCCATTTGGATTATTTCATACGCGATTTCATGTCCACAATAAGCGGCTAATATTGAGAGCTTAATTGTAGCTCGCCACTTCTCAGAGTAAGGATCCAGGCACAATAGTCTGCATTATTTAATCTAATAAATATAATGACCATTATTTTATTATATATTTAAAGGAGTTAAAAATTGTTGTTATTATTATATTACTTTTAATAAACCTATTAACCATATGTTGTGATGAAAGTAAATTACTATAAATCATGCAATTTGAATTATAGTGTAAAGTTAATTTAAACAAGAAAGAACTAAAAAAAATAAAGGCTAACATATAAGGGTATGATAATTAATTAGTTATTATCTCCCTCCTCTCCCATTCTAAACCCAATAAAGGATGATTTAAAACCCACCCTCTTCCCTCCACTTTGACAAAACCAATCAAGATAATATAAAACACATCCCCTCCTCTGAACCAAACCCACGTTTCTGTTGTAAAGAAAATGACATGATATTAATTGGCTTTTGGATGCTCCAGAAAAAAAGAAGGCTTGTACATAGATATATCATTATTCACGCATCGAAGGCCAAAATACTTGTAAGAAGCTTCCTAATCCCAAACCATAAAAAGTCCATTATTCACGCACCAAACGCTAAGAAACCTACGAGAAGCTTCCTAATCCTTAATAATGATCAATTGTCAACGTTGATCAACTAAACAATCCGTTTGGATGCTTCGATCCTCTTTCCTACCACCACACATGCATCTTCCAATAAATTAAGCGTCATTAAACTAATAATTTAATGAGAATTGATAGGAGAGAGAACAAATCGGCAAGAGCAGCATCTTAATTCAAAATCTCATTACTCAGGTTTAATTATTGATCATTCCATTTTATTATATAATAATTATTAAGTCTAACTTTTTATTTGATATAAGATTTTTTTATATTGACTCAAGTCCATTCATATTTGAAGATCTTAACATGTATGTATAATTTTGTAATTTTATAAGGGTTGATGAGTAGTTTATTATATTGGTGTATTAACAAAGATCTTGTACGTTTACACTGTGTTGACATTACCAGCAACAAATCTAGATCTCTCTCCTACTCCATGTAACTGATCATGCTCCAGTTTTCCCATGGATTTCCAGAGCAGACTATCTCCTTCTTCTTCGATCTGGAAATATGATGTGACTTTAACTTGCTGTGGTGACTTACCTTACGATTTTTATCCATGGCTTTGGAAAAATCTACTAAAAGAAGGTTTAAGAACCCGAAATTGTTGGTACGATCGCAAAGTCTTTTTTATCGATCAATGGTACGAGCCACTCAAAGAAATGAAGGAATCCCAGATTTATATGGTCGTCTTCTCAAAAACATATGCTAAAGCCGATACAGATTGCTTGAGGGACCTGGCATCAATGTTTGAGTGCATGAAGGTTTCATCGCGGCGACACAGTTTTCTGCCAATTTTCTTTGAGGTCGATCCCTCTCAAGTCAAAACATGGCTAGCTCCGTATGAGGCACTACTGAGCCATAGCCAAGATTTGGTCATACGAAATAAGTAAGCAAGATATGTTGTTGGTTATGAATCATACTATTATCATATTTGCCTCCCCATATATGCTGATTGATCGAACAAATTAATGATCAAATTAATCCTTCTGAATATTTGTGTTGATCTGGAAATAATTCACACAAAAGAACAGATGATGATCATTCCTTTATTAAATTTCTCTTCAAATTTTATATCTTTGGTAGGAGTAGATTTTGTGTGCGCGCGCGCTTAATTATATTGCATACTCTGTTAATTTTTGCTTTTCTCTTACTCTTTGTTAGCGGAGATCAAACTCGAGTTATGAAAGAAATAATTGTGAAGGCAAAACAAATATTGCTGGCCAATGAAAGAGATACGTAAGTAGTACTCTATTTTTCCCCCCCATTTCTTTATTATGTTGTTGAAATCACCCGTATGCAACCTAGCTATCATGATCAGCAAGCCACAAAAATGTCCTAAACTCGGACCCACTCTTCATACCAGAAGAACCACTTTTCATATAAAAGAAGCTGTCTTCAAATTAAAGTCATCTTCTCAGCAAGAGGCATCGTCGAAATTAAACAGTCATACCTCTTCCTCTTTCAGAGACAATATATTCCAAATTATAAAACAGCAAGATTGTTTTGCCATTAGAACGAGATTTCTGTGTGTGTGTGTGTGTGTTTTGTTTCCAATGCTTCCTGGGAAACCTGGAAATACTAACATGGCTATCTCAAGACTCGGGACAAATACAAGGGGGGAGGGCAAGCAAGGGTGCTTCCCCACTCCCCCCATGATATAAGTTTTTTTTTAAAATATGTTTATTTTTATTTGTATCAACTTTTAGATCCATCCCTGAAATTAATTTTGACCCTCCACTTTCTTGTAATCTTTCATTTTTGGCCCCACGTATGTATCAACTTTTAGTTCCATCCCTGCCCAAGACTCGAATCCAAGAATTTGTGATAAGCTAATTTGACTTTCTCGACCAATCAAATCATCTAATAGCATGATCAATTATATTGAATGCTAATTAAGGAATTGTTGTTTCAGTTGTCAGACGGATTTTCAGAGCAAGCCGCCGCCCTCCTCCTCCTCCGAGTGGATATGGCCATGGCCATGTGATGTGTTTATAAGCTTTGATACTGAGTCTGACGACTCTTGCTCTTTCGTTGAATTCCTTTCGCATGCTCTTATCAGCAATGGTTTCATTACCGCTTCTTCAAATTCCTTTGCTCGAGGACCGTTGGACAAATATGAGCTTTATATGGTTGTCCTTACAAAAAGCTATATTTGCTCAACACGATCCTTGCAGGAACTGGCAAGGATGGTAGCTCAGTGCATCGACTCACCTGTACGCAAATTTGATACTGATCCACCTCAGCAGATACTCGTGCCGATCTTCTTCGGAATCCAGCCCTTTCAAGTAACTGATATTGATAGCTTCTTCCAGAATAGCCGCTTTCTTGAACATATAAAACACTTGGAACTAAATGTAGACAAAGTAATGACACTATTGACCCAACGCCAAGATTTGGTAGCACCACATGATCATCTGTAAGTAATCTTCTCTCCTTGTTCTGTTCTTGTAATCTCTTTAATTCAATTATCCGAAAACTTTAAATGCATTATTTATCATGTATATTGTACATTTCAACAAGATTTTAAGGTTTAATTAAAATCTCCATCTTTCATATTTTTATTTTTATTTTTTTCATTTTGAAGGATTTTTAACCGGACACGTTAATTAGGATACTGATTCATACATATATCGTTGACTTGTTTAGTAATAGTAGCAAATTGATGTTGTGCTTGCTTCTAAACTTACACAAATGATAATGATGTTAATGTCTTGTTTCTTTATTTCTTGTTTTCTTTTTCAGAAAAGATCAAGCGCGATTTATTAGTAAAATTGTTGACAAGACAATTAATATGTATGATGGCTATTATTGGTAAGTAAAACTCTCTAATTTATTTATACTTTGCTGGATATAAAATCTTATTGCTCTGATTTTTATGCTTTGTTGGATATGTGTTTGTGTAAACAACAAAAGAACATAGAATGTAACAGAAAAATTTACACACACACAATTAGAAATAGTACTGTTAAATTATTTTTCTTCCTTTTCTTTTTCTTTTTCTTTTTCTTTTCATGTACAGGCAGCCATCGCTTCGCTTTATTGATGGAATTGCCAAGAAAGTTGACATATCAGATGAAATAGCTACAGTAGGGATAGGATCTCATCGAGTATCAAAATTAATAGAGCTTCTGGTTTTAGGGTCAACAGGTTTTGTTCGAAGTGTAGGGATCAGTGGGATGGGTGGAATAGGGAAGACAGCTCTGGCCGGAGATATCTTTAACAAGATCTCTCACCATTTTGATTCTACCTATTTCCTCACTAATCTGGATACACATTATGCCTCCAAGTTCCTTCCAGAAGTACTTCTTCGAATAACTCTAGGAGAAGAATATGTACTTTGTGTACACAATATAGAAACTAGTCTGAGAAACCATAGGATTCTTGTAGTCTTAGATGATGTTGATGACCATGAATCATTGAAAGAGTTTTTGATTGGATCACGTGACTGCTTCGGAGGAGGAAGTAGAATTATCATAACAAGTAGAGATGAGCGAGTCCTTGGAGAGCTTGGAGTAGATGAAATTCACAAGGTTAAACTATTGAATCAAAATGAAGCTCTTCGACTTCTCTGCAAAACAGTTTTCAATTGTAATTTTCCAATGAGAGGTTATGATAAGGTGGTCCTGGATGCCCTCAAATATGCCGATGGTCTTCCATTAGCAATCAGATCATTAGGTTCGTTGTTGCGAGATCGAAGCGTCTCAGAATGGCAGAGAGAGTTGGAAAAGTTGGAAATGGTTCCTGATTCTTCAGTACTCAGTGTTCTTAGAAAAAGTTTTGATAAACTCGATGGTATAGAAAAGGACATGTTTTTGGATATTGCTTGCTGTTTTGCTGGAGAGGAGATTGATTATGTGAAGAAAATTCTTGGGATCCAGTATAAATTACCTTTGGTGGAAACGAGGATCGGCTTTCTTATTGATAAGTCACTGATAAACGTCTCAGGTCTTAGAATAAAAATGCATTATATGCTGCAACAGTTGGGAAAAGACATCGTTCGACGAGAATCAACTAGACCTGGAGAGAGGAGTAGGGTATGGCGATTTGAAGATTTTTGTCATGTTATGGAGGCAAATACCGTGAGTTCTTTGAACTTTTATCTTGTTAATTACAATTATTGTTTTAGTCTCTTAATAAATATCTTTTATTCCTTGTTTAGTTCCTCAAAGATATTGTTCTAAATGTGAAAAATTCGGGTAAATTAGAGCTAAGGACCAGATGGGAATAATATTTATTGGAGACGACTTCAAAGATACTAATTATTAAGAAGGACCAGCTACCAAAATGTAAATTTAAAAATACTAAATTGCCCTCGTCAAATCTCCCACATCATTGAAATTATTGGATGCGAGAATATGCACCCCAAGTCTAAAATGGAAGAAAAGAGAGACAGAAACAAATTGTATGTAGACAGACATATATAGTGCAGTCAATTAGCCAAATCTTTTACACAAGGGCATAATGGTCTATCGGTTATATTTTGGTCCGTTACCATAATTTGAATTTTTATGGTCCTTTGTAAAAAATATTGATGGTTAATTAATTGTAGATCCTTTTGTATAATTTCCCCAAAATTCATCAATATTAGGAGTTAATGGGGGTGGTTAGCTGTAGCAATATTATTTTCTCCCCAAGCATTGATGTATTACTGGTCACTTTTGTCAATTACTAAGAATATTACTTGAACAAGAGTATTAAAATTATAATAATAAAAATCAGGTCAACTCAGTTGATTGGATCGGTAAATTGTTAAATTATGTGTTTTAATCATTTTAATATAAATGTTTTGCTTATGACTAGTTTGACCTTGATTTAACTACAATTTTAACCTTGAATCTTTGAACTTGCGCCTTAATCAGTTTCGGTCTGATTTTCTATACTTTAAAATATGACCAAACTGAATTTTTTTTCCTGAAGCATATATATAGAATCCATAGTAATTATTTTTCAAAGATTAAATTGGTGAAACAAATAGCTATTACTATAGGAATTCAAAATAACAATTTATTCCTTTTTTGATTTCTTTTATAGAAATTTTTCATGATCTTGGATTTTTAATTAACTTATATATAATATATAATGCATTTGTATTTATATATTCAGGGAACTGAGTATGTCAAAGTCATAGTGCTTTCAAATCAAGAATATCCGCGGAGGACGACATCGATAAGCATCAATGGTTTGTCAAAAATGAATGGACTTAGAGTCCTTATATTTCATAACTTGCACTTTTGCAGGAAGCCTCAGTCGTCTGGCTGACAAAATATTTTATCTGTCGTGGCATCAATATCCATTTACTTGTTTACCATCAAGTTTTGAGCCAGAATATCTTGTGGAATTGATTCTGCCAGATAGCTGCATCACGCAACTATGGAGAGACATAGAGGTGTTGATAATTTTCTTTGATCTCTTGCATCAAATCAAAAACTAGAATGATTATCATGAACGAAATCATTCTTTTTTGTTGAGACTGAGTCAAAAGTTTGAACAGGAAATACCATTGTGGAGTAGGTTTCAAATAAATGTCCAAATTTTGTAGTACTAAATTTACACAAGGTTTATCTTCAAAAGAACAATATCAATTCATCACTATTTTAGTTCATGTTTCCAAAATAAATTCATTCACTCTCAGGTTTTATTTCCTTTTGTTTGAAATATTCCATTCCATTTAGTTGCAGCCAATCAAAAGGAATGTCAATTCTTATTTCAAAATCTCATTTGTTAGTTTGGGCAGGTACTAACTTTTCTTTGATCTCTTGTACAGATAAAATTGTGGAGGTTAAAGAGTTTGAACCTTTCAGGCTCTAAAGATCTACTTGAGACACCCTATTTTAATTTTCTTCCCTCCCTTGAGAGGTTAGACTTTGAAAGGTGCACTTCATTATCACAGCTTCATCCATCTATTGCGCTACTTCACAGGCTCAAGTATTTGAATTTGAGAAATTGCGTCAGCCTGATCAGTATCCCGAATAAATTATTTGATCCAAGCTCTCTTGAATTTCTAAATCTAGCTGGATGCTCAAAATTTGCCCAATATTTGAGCTTCAATGCACGTTTGAAAGCATTGCCTCCTATATTGGCGAAATTTTAATAAGTTGACTTTACATGTCTTTCTTCCAAGACAATATTTAGTTTTCCCATGACTTGTGCGCGTGCGCTTCATACATTACTTTTGCAAGCTCCCGTTGGCATTGCCCTTTTAGCCCAATAATGCTGTTGTTTGAATGTCTACCATAAAGTTAGTGTGGCTCAATGTGTGGTTGTTGGTGAGTTCTCTTTTTCCTTCTTCTCCATCTGGCAGGCTGGCTGGTGCCTTTGGGTATTTTTATTTCTATGGGTTCTCCCATGGTAGTCTTTCAACAACCAATTCTAGTTGATCCTTCGTCGATAAAAAGTTTGGGATCTTTGGGGTGGTTTTTCAAACCCCCACCCCTTGCAATGGCATTGATGCTGGTGATAGTGTTTTTCTTTCTACAGATTCTAGCAAGCGGATGGTGAAAAAATAGTTTGCTGGCAGGCTTGGTGGTGGCTATTTTCTTTGATCTTGCTGTTAGGGTTTGGGTTGTGTTTTTTGGGTTGTTATTAGTTGCAGGCCTTTTCAATGTTACGTTGGACCTTTGTTTTTGTTGTCTTTATCTTAATGAAAATATCATCTTTTCTTGCCTAAAACAAAAAATTGGAGCCTTTTGTGATTTAAGTCTATTCATTACATATAGTAGTGCAAAAAAATACAGCATTAAATATTGGATCAACTTGACTGGTTAAACTAATAAACTGTTAAATCAATGTATTGACCAATTTAATAAAATGTTTTAATTTTTTATGACTAATCTAATCACAATTTAACTTATAAACCAGTGTCTAAACTAATTCAATAATCATTCTGGTTTTATATTGATTCTAATCTCTTGTTAATTGTTATTCTGTCACTTTGTTCCCTTCTATATTCTATTCCTGTTTTCATATAAGTTTACTAGCTAAACTTGTTCATATTTACTACTACAATACTTGATCCTTGGTTATCAAGGGTAGAGACAAGGGGGAACTACCCCTTAACTTTTTAATTTTTTTATAATAAAATATAGGGGTTTTATGTTTTAGTCCTTCTAAGTTGATATATTATAGAGACATAGAGACACTAGATGAGGTTTTTACTTCAATTTTATATATGATCTTTTATGCATGTATAGTTCTTATTTCCAACAAGATGATGTTATATATACTCTATAAGAATTGGTGTCATTTGATTTTGCTTTTATTTTATATTTGATGAAAGAAAATATGAGAAATACTAATAAACTTTATCAAGCATTGCAACAAAAATTTTAAGATATATTAAATATTATGTGCTTAATATTTACCATGAAATTATTTATTCAAAGATTAAGAGGTTATGGTTAAGGTATTTTAGAAAAAAGTTACTTCTTTTTGTAATAACCAAGCTATTGAAAATTATGTCATAAATGATTTTTACTCTTATATAATCCGATCTCATAAACATAAAGATTCTATGATAGTTGAGTATGATTATTGTGTTGATGTATTTACTATTGTTGTCGATTATCAGTTATAATAATTAAAGAGTAAATTCAGTAAGCAAGTAATATAGTTTCTTATATTGAGCACAGCATTAGATCCTAATGATGCTTTAAATCATTTAATGCTAAAAAGGAAGAAGATTTTTACCCATTTAATTTAATGGTAGTTTATATTAAGAAGGAAATAAGTTTACTGTGGACATGAAGATTGATGATTTTATGCCATGAAAAATCAAAAAGAAAATATTTATAAATTAAAAAATATATATATTTTTGTTATATATTTGTAAAATTGAATATGAATATATACATTCAAATATTTATGTTATGTTAGTAATATATATATATATATTTTTCTTTGATTATCATAAATGCTTTGTCATCTCAACCCCCTCAAAAAATAAAATTTCTGGCTCCACTCTTGGCTCCTATCACTTGAAATATTCACAATACCACAACCAGAAGTTCACAATTACCTATCAACATACGCATGCACAATTGATGCTTTCAGAACATCAATTACACTTTAAACTTCAACATAAGAGGACACAAACTAGCATGATCCCTATTTTCTCCAGCAGGTGTATTTTGCATATCATGAAATTAAGATGGCAAATGAAAAAATCCACGAGAGAACCCCACACACTATGATTCAACTTCTATTTAGCGATACTAAATTAGGGGATGAAATGCTGTATATATAGCTAATTCATAAACTGTCACGCTCCAAAAATTAGAGAGTGACCGACACGGAATGTGAACCATTTCACATATCCCTGTAAGCCTTAAATTGTAAGTTGATTCTATTTTTAAAATGAAATTAGATTTATTTTGAAATTATAACACTTTTGACACTAATAATTATAACAAAGTTTCAACATGTTTATAGAAATTTTGACAGAACCTCCCCCTATAAATGTGATCTCCTAATTTTTTTTTACAACACATTGATGCAATCAAAATGTCAAATAAATTAGGAGCTTAGCTCCTTCCAGTCGATAGACAGCATATATATATATATATATATATAAGTCCTAATTATAGCTTATGTGGAGCACCTAACTATACTTTTCAAAAATAAAATAAAAATAAGATACATAAACATTAATAATTACATCAAGAGAAAAATTTCAATCAATCATCCACCTATCTATAAGTACTCAAGGTCGGTGGCAAGATAAACGTCAACAAAGGCATCTGAGATAAAAATAACTTTTCAGTGAATAACGTCCCAACAATAAACAATAGAACATAAATAAAATGAAAAGTTTGAAATAATTATGTAAGTTAAATAGATAACAATTTTTTTTTAAATTTTAATAAACTTCATAATAAAATGGCTCTATAAAATTTCAAATAAAATCTCAAATCATTTAATTATCATAGCAAATGATAATATCACTTAATTTCAAGGAAGTACATAAATGAAATAAATATTTATAAACAAATTACTAAACAAAAACTAATGGTATATAAAATCATCAAATGATTGGATTCATAATTATAGGGATTTATCAGAACAATTAACAAATATGAACATACAGTCCACGAGGGTAAATAACCAAACGTGGCTTGTGCCACGAGGACAAACGTGCCACACACAATTCACAAGGGTAAGTAACCAAATGCAGCCGAAGCCACGAAACAAATGTGGATATACAGTCCACAAAGATAATGCTAACCAAATGCAGCTTGAAACCACGAAAACAAACATGAATACGATGCTCACGAATAACCCATCCTTCCATTCCATGTGCGTTGGCCATCGCACGGGACTAACACCTCCTATAAACACCTTGCTAACTATGTGTACCATGGCACGCCAAGGGCTAACGGAACTGCCGTTAGCAACCAGTGTTTCACATAAAGTCTCCTTTTAAACCATTTTCAAGCATGCGAGAAAATTATCACTTTCAAGATACAGTTCTCATTTTCAAAATCAAACTTGCATGAATACTTTTAAGCACCAAAACTTTTCAGAATTAAATTTCATATCCAATGCTCATACTTGCATTTATTGAATAATCAAAAATTGTCAATGCTAATGAAAAGGAATTTTATTAATCCTGAAAGGATATCTTAAAAGGGGTAAAATATTCATATGCTATGATGAATCATCTTTTCACCACTATTTTAAAACTTAAAATGAAGAAATTTAATTAACAAAGTATGCACTGATCAACATAATTATTATTAAAATAATCAAAGTAATAAAATAAATTTTAATAAGAAAAATTAATTGATAAATTAGTTGGGACGCTATCCACTTACCTGAAATTCTCAAGAGATCAAATTTCACCTCTTGCAACTTCAATCAAACTCATTTTCCAAATACCCTATATATCATATTAAGATTTTATTAAGCCTTCAAACAATACAATAGTTTCTTTTAACATCATCCTTAACAAAATTAAACTCTACTAAATTTGAAACTTTAGAACTGAAGCCTTACACTTTTTTTTTTCATCATTAACATTTTATCAAGCCACCAAATATATATCATTTCCAATCCATTCATAAAAACTCTAGCATCCAATTAAATATATTTTTTCAACAAACTATCCATTTTCAAGAATTCAAATAATCACATTATTAATTTCATAATGACAACATCCCTATTAAAATTCAGGATCAATGAAATTTCAAAAATGAGGAATCAGCAAAGTTCTCCTAGTAGGCATTTCATCCAACACTTACGGGCATTAATTATATAGCTAATGCTAATCTTATCCTCTTTAATTTCACTTTCCTAACAATCATTTTGTCAAGCACCTTCTGTGCGTAAATTTTTTAAACTCAACCAAACTACTCCTTCTTCCTTTCCAACCTCCAAAATTTTACACTAAGTAATTTTAATCAATCAATCTCCCAATCTCCATTCCTCTAATATAAAGAAATGAATTTAACTCAAGAAAATAAACTCAAATCATCTTCAACGGTACAACCAACAACTAAACAAGAAAAGGGAATCAAAAACTATTGTCACTACTAACATGAATAGAGATTCAACACAAGAAAAAGAAAAAGAAATGAGAAAAATTTGAAGTACTTGACCTTAGATCTCCATGGCAAAGAGCAATGAGAAGGAGATGATTTAGATGGTTGAGTAGGGGAGAGGCAAAACTGAATGCAGCTCGCAATAAAGGAAAGAAATCGGATCAATAGCACCAGTTGAAGCTCGCGACAGCACTACCAATGGCTCCGGCAACTATGTTTCTCACCCATCCATAACCCGAACGTGAACACTGAAGATAGAGCAGCTACCAAGGAAGACAAACAGAGATGGAGAGCGAGCAGGAAGGAGAAGAAATCGCGCGAAGCATGAGAAGAAAAGGAAAGAGTGGAGCATCCCATGGCCACCAAGACGGCGATGTCCCCAGAACACCCAGGAACAGGGCAATGTTGCTGCTCGAAGGAAATCTTACAGCAACCATCACAGTAGACAAACAACAAATGAGGAGACGCGGTGGACAGAGGGAAGATGAGGATCGACGTTGGACAGACGGAACAAACAGCAACCACCGGCACACCCACATTGATATTGATGATAGCAGACAGAGGAAGATGGTGAACCAGACTTGAAGCTTCTTGAAATATATTCTCTGGCTCTCCCTTGGATAAAATGCAATGCTAATTGGAAAAGAAGAGGGAAGAAAAATATTTGATGGCTAAGTGGAGGGCATTTTTGTAATTTCACATAAGTTAAGATAAAAAATAAGCCCAACTCTTCCTTGAGGATTCGAACCCAAAATTAAAAGGTAGCCACCAAGCAAGTTTCCACTAAGCTAGCACCAACTTCCTTATCACATTTGTTACAAAATTAATAAAAATACATTTGAAATACCTTATCATAAACTTTAATATCAATTAAATTCTGGGTCATTACATAAACAGAAGCTAAGCTAGAGGTTTTACTGTTCTTTTTAAAAAAGCAAGGAAGCATCAGCTAAGCAAGTTATGCATTAAGACCAATTTGGTAACCTCTTGTAAAAAATTTCTCACAACTTGAGAGAAAGTGGTATAACAGGGGCATGAAATTAGGATAATGAATTAATGAAATAAACAATGGAGAATTTCAAAAAAAGGACTCCAGTAGCTACTTAATTACTAATCAATTAATCCTGACAAATTCCAAAAATAACTGCAAACTTTTTAAGAATGAAGTGAAATAAAATTGTAAGGCGCAATGACTCTTGCTAAATGAAAGGAAAAATAGCTTGACGGAAAAGGAAGCAAATTCACGCAAGCTCTAGCTTTGAATGCTGTTCACGCAAGCTCTGGCTTTGAATGCAGTTCACCATTTTTTCCACCATCATGCTAAGTCAAGCTGGTAATTCATGCTATTGCCCATTCTTTTTTAATTTCTTCCATAGATAGTGCAATCTTGCTTAATATTGTCTCATCTTGACTGATTTGCGTGTTCTTTCTTTACAAGTTGGGTCAAGGAAAGAGCATGGTTGTTCACTCCAAAATCTTGCTGCCGTCTGACCTTGTCTTAAAGAAAGATTCATCTTCTTCATCTCAACTATTAGACACTAGTAGTTTGCCATGGCTTATATAGTATGTGGCATGGAGAGTGGAACAAATGGGTTATTTTACATGGGCGACGGTGGGCATTTTTTCTGATGTAAATTGTTCTTGCAACACTAATGTTGGTGGGTTGGTGAAGGTCTTTCACATTTATGGCATTGAAATTGTGCTATCCTGTAATGGCCCTCAATTTACATTTAACTTAAATTAATTTTCTCTTCTAATAAACATTTTATTTAAATTAGACCAATAATAAGTAGAGGGTGGTGATTTATAAAAATTTATTCTAATAATTTTTTTGAGGATTCAAAAGTTAGAATTTCATTAACCAAGTTTGGTTTTATTATTAATTATAGAAAAATTTTGTGCTTTTGTTATAATTTTTCCTTCGGCCTCTCGTAAATTTCTCAAATACTTTTTCATCAGATTTTCATTCTCGCTCTTTCCCATTTGAACGCGAGAATGGAACAGAGGAAGGGTGAGGAAGTCTCTGGAAAATCATCACAGTCTTCTCCCCCTCCTCCTCCTTCTCGCTCGCATTTCTTGTTCCTCACCGTCGGTCTGCGTCGTTTTCACTGCCACCCTCTTCTCCATCTTCATTCGTCCATTAAAGGGGGTAAGTAGCTGATTTCTTTCCCTGTTATTGCTCTCTGTTTCATCCCTGGTTCGAGCTGTGAGTGGTCTTCAAGTTTCTGTCTTCCTCAATAGCTGAAAGTTTCATGTGTGTATGGTAGTTCAACTCTTTCTTCTAGTGGTCAGAATTGTTGGTTTTTCTCCTGGGCGTAGCAAGCTGAAGCGTTGGTCAAGTGTTGGCTCTTAGTTGCTGCACTAAAGTTTCGTTTGAGGTAGGCTGCTGGTTTTTCTCTCCTTTCTCTTTGATTTCTATAGCAAAATGAATTACTCTCTTCTTCCCTGGTCGAAGAGCACCTCCTTGCTCCTCAGAGTTGCTGTCAAAATTTTGAGAAAATTAAAATATATTTCGGTTGATGCCGTACACATTTTTGTTGTGACAGTAAGCTCAATGTTGATGATAAAGTTTATGTGGGAAGTTGATTAATTGGCTAGATGAATATTGTAAACTAAAATTAAATGTTCTCAAGATGCTTGTGAAAATGCTTGAGTGACGAATTTATGTGATGTTTTGGATAATATTAAATGTTATTTTATTAATGCTGAGTTAAAAATTGATGAAGAAATTAAATGTTAGAAATCATTGAGTTTGCTTAAAAGCTTACCTAATGATTTAGCTAATAGTAAATATTTTTATAGTGCTTATAAATATGATTGAAAGATTTATTGGTAAAAGTGAGATTGTTAAATTTTTATAATAGAACCTAGATGAATTATGAATATTGCTCGAAGGAGTATATGTAAGTTTTGGAATTTTAAAAAATATACTAAAGTAGGAGAAAGGAATGCATCGAATGCTTGCGTGGTATGTTATTAAATCTAAAAGAAGCATGTGAATGATTAATATGAGTTATTATGAATTATGGTTGAGAATATATGTTACAAGGGTTATATGAAGATGAATTAAGAATTGTCCAAAGTTTAACTAATGAATTGAGAATTGTCCAAAATTTAACTAACTCAAGTATACCTGAAACATAATTAGTTATAATATTGTCTTTAATATTATTTGGATTGAATTTAAATGCCACTAAGTGTTTGAAAAATTACTTGATAAATGATTTTAGAATTATGATTTATTTGCCTCAAAATCAAGAGCAACACTAGAATTAAAGAGAAAAGTTAAGAGATCCAAGCTTTAGAATTTTGGAAAACCTTCAAGTGAGTGAGTAGTGTCCCAAATATTTTCTTACAAAGTGTTTATAATGTTTTTATTTAGTTTTTACATTATTCCTTTATAAGTTGTATAAATATTCTTGTCAATTTTAATTTTAGAATTCATATAATTATTTTTACTTACCTAACTTTTATGTTAATCGGTTATTATAGAATCTGCTTTGTAATCATTAAGAATTATGCATTGTTAAAGAATATTTGGATTCGGTATATTATTAACAGAATATTTATTCTAAACATTTCTATTGTTTAAATTTTATGATTTATATTACAATTATGAAAACGGTGATTCGTGTATGGAGAAGATTGAAAAGAAAATTTGATAGTTGGATATCATATTTTGAAAAGAATTATTTTCAATGAATGTCTCAACTCTATGCACGCTCGATTTTAAGTAGAGGGACTGAGTTTAGAATGTTGGATACTAACAGTAGTTTCATTAACCCTTGACACGCCATGGTACACTTAACTAATAGGGTTTTTGTAGAAGATGGCAAGATGCTAGCCACATGAGCAAGCTAACACACGTGGAATGGAGGGATAGATATTCGTGAGCATCGTACTCGCGCTTGTTCCGTGGGCTTCATACCTGCGCTTGTTTTGTGGCTTCTAGCCGCGTTTGATTATTTTGCGACTTTAAGTCGCGCTTGTTGGTTACTTTACCCTTATGAATTATGTATCCACACTTGTTAATCATTCTAATAAAGTCCCACTGAAAGTGAATTTTTGAAAACATTATTTTTAAAATTTATTCTATTAAACAAACTATTGTTTTATTATATATGATTTTATTTGGTAAATTCCCTTCTAGATTGGTTTTAAAAATTTGTTGTTTTATATTAGTTATTCACAAACATTTTTTATTATATCATTATTTGAATTTTTTTTATATATTTTTATGAGTTGTACGATTCTTGATAATCTATAAAACTTCAAAATTATTGATTTATTTCACAGTTATATTATTGAGCAACCTTGTCATTTATTGTTACTTAAAATAAGGGTTTTAATATTCCATTAATTTGTTGTAAACTAAATTTTATTAATTATTACTTTTACATGTTTTATCTATTTTTTTTGGACGCTATTCATCAAAAAATTTATTTGGTCTCAAATAATATAATTGACCCTACACCTCCTGGTAATCATTAAGAGGCTTTATTGCTATTACAGTAGAAGCATGCTTCAATCATTTATTTTAATGTAAATATTTATTATATTATACAATGGTAGTTAGTGCTCCACATATGCCGTAGTTAGGTTTTGGTCTTATTTTGTTATCTTGTAATCTACTGATGTGGAGTTAAGCTCCTTTTTTTGGATTGGCTATCAGGTTTATTGACTATAGAAAATTTGAGATGTCCTAATTATAGAGGAGATTTTGGCGAAATTTCTACCGAGTGTTTAAAACTTTACAAATTTTATAATTATATATAAATATATATTTTATGATTTATTGATCAGTATAATTTATCTATCACTATTATGACTTAATATTTGAATAATTAAAGCTTATGCAATATGAGTTTATGCTGGTCATACCGTTAGTAGTAGGGTGTGACATATCCAGAACAATTACAACTTTTGTTATAAAAAGCTTAATGTTATATTGTAAATATGAGAATATAGTTATAAATTCATAAATTGTTTGAGTGATGTTAATGTAATTGAAATTTACATTTTATTGAAGTGCAGGATTACATGAGTTATGATTAGCAGTTTTGGAAAGCAATCATATTGCATCTTCTGTATAAGGGGAATTTGCAAAGTAGGTGGCTATGTAAAGGTGCTGCACATTATATTGCATTTTATAGTATGTGTATTATATTAAAATTGTGTTGTCAAGTTAGGACAATTGAATGTTGTTGTGCTGTAAAAAGCTTAATGTTATGTTGTAAATATAATAATTATAGTTGTAAACCGGTACTAATAAGCTAATTCAACTTAACATCTTAATAAGGTGCAGGTTTACATGAGTTATGGCTTCTAGCTCGTATAAAGTAACTATTTTGCATCTCTCATATATAGAGGGGGAGAATTTGTGAGGAATATAAAAGAAAATACAAGATACGAGTATCTTATGATTCATTTGCTTCAACAAGGGGTGTTCTTCTCATAGAGAGAAAGATAATTCTCAGAACAATTAGAGACTTTAGATTATTTATTTATTTTTTATTCATATCGATTTTCATTTTTAATGTAATATATATATATATGTCATATGAATTAAATTTTATTTTTACTCTTGAATTATACTCTCAAGATATCACTTAGTGTCCTGGATGGACATTATTAAGGCAAGTGGAGCCTACAAGCTTGCACAGTTGACAATCACTTGCAGAGACGAACTAAAGTTGGGGGATAGGGGCAGCTGCCCCCACTAAAATGAAAGCTATCTCTTGGATATAATAAGTAGAAAATTTCACTTGTGCCCTTCAAAAAATTGTCATTTGCCTCTCCCAATATTGCCCTTGCACCACTTAAATTTGTTAAAAATTTCAGTTTTTCCTGCCTAAATATTTTCTTACTCATTCAATCAAGAAAGTTAATGTTATTTATATACTAATTTTGTAGGAGGGAGGGATATTAATTTGAGCAACTAAAAATAATGTTGGCTCATATTATACAAATGTAAGAATATAATAAAAATATTATTAAATATTTTTTCAACTTCTCAACTAAAATACTAATATTTGTTTGTTAGAAGATAATGAATTTAGATTCTTTAATTTTTACTTTCTACTCATTCATACTTGAAGTTAATAAAGGTTCTTACATTTAGTGTTTAATAGTACTTTAAGTGTGATTGCCTAACCAATAGAAGAATCCCGCTGAGTAAAATGCTAGTTTTATTTTGTTTCAATTATGAAAAAATTATCAAAAATGTCCTTGTCTTTTACGTTATAACAGAAAAATTTTAGCCAATCTTTGTAATTTTCGCAATTCTCCCTTTCTGAGCAGATTTTTTTCTTCTTCTGGGCTATTTGAACATCAGAACAGAGAGAGAGAGAGAGAGAGAGAAACTTCGGGATCAATTCCTTCTAACTCCATCTTTCCTCTTCGTCTGTTGCCGATGACCGTGGTCCGTTCATCACCGCCGCCCCGGAGCACCCAGACTCACCGTCAACTCTTCTTCTTCTTCTTCTTCTTCTTCTTCTTCTTCTTCTCGTTCGTGTAGCAAAGCATCAAGTCAGTGAGCGTGCGTCTGATCTGTCAAAGCTTTTTCTCCTCTTCTCCATTGTGCTTCCCCCTTTGAGCTTCATCGCCAGCCTGTTCTTTCCTTGCCGTCGTGACTCAGCCGTTGGGAGTAATGGAGTTGTGTAGTGTTTCGTTCTCATCGTTCTTCAGAGTCGGCTCTGTCTCGCTTCTTTATTCTGTGATTTTTGATGGCTGTGGGTGCCAGGAAGTGACAGAGGTTCATGGTTTAGACAAGTTTCATACTGTTTATCTTCTTTCTCTAGCATTTGGCATGATCATCCTTGAAAAGTATGAGATTCAAAACTTTTGCTCCTTTCTTTCTGCTGTTTGGCCGAGAATCTGGGGAATGTTGATGAGATTGATAGAAAAAAAATCAATTATTTTTCCATTGTTGGGTGCTGATTAAAAGAAAGAATTGTGAGTTTTATTTATTCCAGGCTTGAGGATGGAAATTTGCTTGACAAAAACACCTTATATTTATTTGTTTAGACACTATGAAAATTTTAAATGAATGAGTTGTAGTGTATGGTGCTGCTATAATGAATTTTCTTGGTGGTGTTGGATTGTTGGTTAAAAGGGTAAATGGAACACTATTATATAGATTGATACAATGTTATCATGTATGGAAATTATTTCTGAATGCTTTCAAGATGTTTGTATAAATGTTTATTAAAAGAGTAATGTTTTAACCCATTGATATAATTTAATTTGGAATTTATTAATGGAGAAGGAGGAAATTATATTTTGGAATAAGAGTTTATTGTTGCTTTAAGAAATTACATTTGAGCTTGAAAGTAAGGTTATCTTTTTTACATCAAAGTGCTTGCTTCTTAACTTAATTTGAAATATTCATGAAATGTTTATTGAAATGTTTAAGAAAGGAATTGGAGTTGGATTGAGAAAAATATTAAAGTGTTATTGGGTATTCATTGTGAATTGAATATTGATGCACTTAAGGTGTTTGTAAAAAATGCTTGGAAGAGAATTGGCCAAAAATGCAAGTTGTTCAATTTCTATATTATTAATTTTAAAGGAATATGTGTAAGTGGCAACTTCAGTCATTAAATTGGAATCTTGGGATACTTAAAGTAGGTAATGTTGAATTATGGTTATGGCGCTTCATTAATTTTTAAAAAGGTATAAAAGGAACAAACAGGTCTTCTATTGGTCTGGTTGGGTTATTGATAAGTATTAATTTGATAAGGTAATTGTTGGTTGTGTGTATTTAATTGTGATGTTATTTGGGATCAATTTATGTGCCACTAATGATTTGAGAAAATTACTTGGCAAGTGAAATTAAAGAAAAATTTTATTAGTGTTGAGGGTTAGGATGTTAAATATTTACTTACTCAATTTTAAAAAAATAATACATAAGTGATTTTAAGATTATGATCTATTTGTTAGGCAATTAACGGCACCATTGGATTGAAGTGAGAAGTTGAAGTAAACAAGTTTAAAAATTCTTGGAGAATTTCTCAAGTAAATGGGTAGTGTTTCAAATAATTTCTTGCAAAGTATTTATACAATTTCTTTATTTAAATTTTTATATTATTCCTTTATAAGTTATATACATATTCTTGTTAATTTTTTTTTATAATTCATACAATTCTTATTTGCTTACCTCACTTTTATATTGATTGGTTTATTACAGAATCTGCTTTATTTTTAAGAATTATGTTATTGTTAAGACATATTTGAATCTAGTACATTATTAATTGATTATTTATTATAAGTATTTATGTTGTTTAAATTTTATAATTCATATTATAGTGGTTGACACGGTGATTCGTGCAAGGAAAAAAATTGAAAAGAAAATTTGATAGCTGAATAATATATTTTAAAAGAAATAGAGTTAAATGAATGTTTTAACTCCATGCATGCTTGATCTAATATTCAAAATGCTGGACGCTAACGGCAGTTTCATTAGTCCTTAATGCGCTATGGTACACCTAGTTAGTGGGGTGCTTATTAAGAGGTGCTAGCTCCGTGAAATAGAGGGATGATTATTCATGAGTATAGTACTTACGCTTGTTTTTATGGCCTGGTGCCTGCACTTGATTTCATGGGATTTGTGTTGCCTGTGCTTGTTTTCTTGCCTTTTAGCCTCGTTTGTCAGTAACTTATCCTTGTGGATTGTGTATCCATGCTTGTTATTCATTATGATAAAGTCCTGCTAAAAAGTGAATTTTTGAAAACTTATTATTCTTAATTTTATTTTATTAAACAAACTGTTGTTTGATCGCATATAATTTTCTATGGTAAATTCCCTCTTACAGTGGATTTAAAAATTTATTATTTTATATTAGTTATGTAGAAATATTTTTTCCTTCTTTTTCTTAATTGTATCATTATTTGAATTCCTTTTATATAATTTTGAGTTGTAAGGTTGTTGATAACCTATAAATTTCAAAATTATTGGTTTATTTCACAGTTATATTGTTGAGCAACTTTGTCATTTATTACTAGGTAAAATATGTGTTTTAATTTTCCATTTATTTGTTTTAAATTAATTTTTATTAATTACTATTTTTACATATTTTATCTATAATTTTGATTGGGATGCTATTCACCAAAAAATTTTCTTTGGTCATATTGAAGTTGACCCTACACCTTTTATTGATCATTAAGGGGTTCTATTGCTTTTTGGGATAGCGGAAGCATATGTTAGTCATTTTGTTGATGCAAATATATATTGTATTATGCAAATTATAATTTAGTGCTCTACATATACCGCAGTTAGGTTCTACTCTTATTTTGTTATTGTGAAATTTGCTAGTGTAGAGATAAACTCCTTTCCAGTTTGGTTGACAAGTTTTGTTATTGTAAAAATTTCAAGAGGTCCTAATTACAGGGGAGACTTGAAATTTTTACAAAATATTTAAAATTTTACTTACTTTATAATTTTCTCTGTATGTGTTATAGAGACCTCTTGACTAGTAGGGATTATTTATTAATATTTTATCTTAATATCTGATTAATTATGGTTTATGTATGTAAGTTTATCTCATATTTCTTACCAGTTACACCCTTAATACCGAGTTGTGACACCTATAAATAATAAAAAATAGAAAATAATGCTGCTTAATTGTTTTATATATAAAATATTTATTCTAAAAGAGTAGAATTATTTTTTTAAAAAAAAAAGAGCATAAGAGAGAATGATATTAATAACTACTACTTATTATATCATTTTCAATGAAAATATAAATTTTTCATATATTAAGATAATTTTATTTTTAAATTATTAGAATTTTATAGTTGTTTTATTATTTAATTGTTTATATTGAAAATATTTATTCTAAAATGTTAGAATTATTTTTATAAAAAAAAAGAGCATAAGAGAGAATGATATTAATAGCTACTACTTATTATATCATTTTTAATACAATATAAAATTGTCTTATATTAAGATAATTTTATTTTTAGATCATTAGAATTTTATGGTTGTTTTATTTTTTTATGTATTTATTTTAAATAAATATGTTTTATTTTTATTGGTGTAAATAAATTAATATTTTAATTAATTTGATAAATAGTTAGAATTATATTCCAAAAATATTGATATTTATGTTATATAAATTTTTCACCCACA